CCTTTCTGCAAATTTTTTTTACTTAAAAAAAATAATCCAGAAACAGTTAATTGTTTATTTAAAAAACAGGAATAATTCAGTTAACAAACGGAAATTTTCATTATCAAGTTGGTTATATTGGATTTTTATTCATATTGGTTCATGTAATATGTATTTCGATTTTTTTAAAGGTGAAATTCAAAGAAAATCACAAATATGTCAACTAATGTATCACTAGAAACTAGTAATCTAACAGATGGCCATCGTACAAATTTTAGGTCAACTAAATATCGGGTGCTTGTAACTTTACGAAGACTGGGCCATATTTCTTATCATTTTGATGATTCCAAAACCTTGCAGTACACACCAATCCTTATATGCTAGATGATCAACCTTTTTTAATCGATTTCACAACGTTTCTTTCACAATGCAATCGCATGACCATAACTGGTCTTTACCTTTAATTAACAATCAAAGAAACCAGACTTTCAAATTGAACCCCCCGAATAATATTAAGGACGGCATTTGTTCCTTCTTGAAACGCCGAACATACCGCGGTGTGTGCAGCTGAATATACAATGGCGTCTTATTTTGTTAAGCGACAATTCCTTTATTTTTGTATCGCGGCATTTCTCATCAAAATAAAACCATGCGCTGGGTTTAGAGTGAGGCATGTAGCCTGACGGTAGTGAAGTAAGAGAAAGAACTCAAGAGAAGATGAAAACACAGGCACTGAAAATGTGTGAGATGTCATGGGACATCGTCTGCTTGTGCCAATCATGTCCATACTGTGATCTCACGCATCTCATCATATGGTAATGATTCTCACATTTAAGAGCACAAGAGGGCAGCAACGCGATGTCATTAAAAGCACACTTCAGTAATCTTAAAAATGGAAAGTTTCCAACTAGCAATGAAATATGTGATGCAGTAGAGAACTCAACAAAAGTTGAAGATGAAAGAGCTAAATTAAAGAACAAATTGCCAAAACATTATAAAAAGTGGGGACATTTTACCCCTTAAAGCAGGGGAGCTGATTGTATATATATATATATATATATATATATATATATTCTTTTTAAATAATTCTTTTTAGTATCTCTTTTAATCATTTTTTAATTCCTGCTCACTTCCTCATGTCTTCATTGATCCTAACACCTATCTATTATCGTTGTTTGCTTGATTTTTTTTTAATGTTTTTTTTTTAAATAACGGTATAGTTACAAACTTCTACTGATACAAGACCGTCATATAATTATAATAAAATATAGGAGTTAAAAAATTGCTTCATGTCATTTTATGTAAATATAACAATTGGTTTATTATGGGTTATGAAGCAGCACCCTTACCTCAAATGCTTTTTGTTTATATAAGAACATCTTTATTCGATTGCTTAATTTATTTTGAACTAATTAATTTGCATAAAAGATATATTTATGCTGTAAAAATTGTTCCATTTTGAAATGTTGTATCCGATAACATTAATAAGAACTATTACCGTCACCTTTTTGTTTAATATTTGAAAATCTATTTTTTTTCTCCCAAATTGCAGAATTGTAAAACAATTTGTACACTTTATTATGTACCGAATTAGTTTGGATACTTATGGAGGATATTTTAAAAATATGTCTGTGTATATACTGTATGAGACAATGTACTATGTTTTCACTGTAAGAACAATGATGTTCCTATATATAGTTTTGTATAATTTTTGAAAATCTGAATAAAGGCAAAAAAGCTTTACCAAAAAACAACAACACAGCGGGCTCCATAATTTTGCGACTATCAGCATTTGGGTCAGGTTTGTTGCTTATTTTATCAATATTGTAGACCCGTTTCGTACAACATCAGTGATATGCACTGCACTCGTTAAAATCACAATGAGCCGAATAATAAACTCGACAGATATCATTTATTATCCGATTTTGACATAACCTGCGTTAAGTGCATATTAATTCATAATACACTACCAAACATAAATCATTTGGGTAATAATATCGTATACTTGTATATGTTGTGACATATTGTTGGTATAAAGCGTTATCAGCGTCATTATGATCACATTTTAGTGTTGTTTTTACTGAGCAATAGGACATGAAAACAAAGTTAAACAACAGATGCATGTGAATTAGTTCGTTTAAAAATCTATCTTAAGAATCCGTTAGACTGAGTACGAAACGTGCATAAACAGCATCAACAAATCGGAAAATTTCTAGACGGGAAACTGCAGATTTTGAAGGGCTTGTTTTAGTTTGTATTTATTCAAATAAGAGTGATTTCAATAGTTTTTTTTAATATGCTGACAATTTTGAAAAATATTATCAGCTGGTGTTTTTTGTGTTTCATTCTCCTTCAATTACTCTGTATTCATTGATTCGAAATAGCATCGGTATATTAGATGGTGTATTGTGTGTCGCCATTGTATTTAGGCTGCCTTGATTGTTTTTGTGTGCCGCGCTTCTATCATTGTATTTTCATCAGATTTTATGAAAAAAGATAGCCTGCTTAAGTTCGTAAAAGATTTAGAGAAAAGACCAACAATATTAGAATCAATCATACTAAGACAATAACTATGCATGGATTTGGAGTGTGCAATGATAAAATATATTAAAATTTATCGTTCTTCAAAGCTTACACATGTGGGCTTATTGTATATGTTCTTGGTATTAATAGAGGCGCAAATACGAATTTTGCAGGGGAAAGGAATACTAGTGAACAAGGAAAAGTAAAGAGAAAAAGAGAAAAGACAGAACAAGATAGAGAGCAGAGATCAATGAAGGGGGCGGGTGAATAGAGGGAGAGAAAGAGAGAGAGAGAGAGAGAGAGAAGGGGGGGGGGGAGATAAAGAGGAAAAGGTAAAGAGGAAAAGACACAAATAATGAAAGAAAGAAATAGAAGAGAGTGAATGAAAGAAGAAGATCAGAAAAAAGGTGTGTGTACACAAAAAGTGAGAGAGCAGAAAAGAATAAAAGGGGGAAATGGTTCAGAGAAGAAGAATAGAACAAAAAGGGGAATAAGAACAAAAATCAAAGTGTGTACAAATAAAATTAATGTTGGAGACAGCTGACAAAAGGCTCCCCTCTTATCTTTCCTAGTAGCATCTCATTGCAAATGTATATAATCATTATATCTGTATAGTATACAAATAATGAATGGTTATGAGTTCAATAGTGCGAATATGTTCATGCGTTGAAAGATTAACATTCTATTCAACGAGGCGTCAGCCGAGTTGAATAGAATTAACGTTAATCTTTCAACGAATGAAAATATTTGCACTATTAAACGAATGAAAAACATTCATTATTTGTTTTATACAACATCGAAGAAGACCTAATAGAACGTTAATCAACAAATTATGCTTTACTCCTTATAAAGATAAATTACAGTTCGAGTCAAGCCTTCTCAATTACATGCAGATTGCCTTCGCGTCAGATACACGCAGGGATACGCGCGCGCACATGTCATGCAGCAGAGAGGTACGCAGTCTGCATATAACCAAAAATGCACGGCGCATATAACCAAAAATGCACGACCGTGCAATATACCATCTATTGAATATCATGTGACCAACAATCGTCCAATCAAATGACAAGGATCCACGTAGGTGTTGTATAACACTTAATATGTAACGTTTCTAAGAGCTGTACATATCTTTTGAAACACGTTAGTTTGATATTAATTGCTATTTCATCAGACCATAATGTTAAATTTACCTATCAACAATATGTTTCAATTTGCTAGCAGCGATGCCTGACCTAAAGATTAAAGAAGCAAAAGTATGGGTCGGGTTTTCGGAAAGATCGTAGGCATTGCAGAAACTGTACACACAAAAGCTCGTAAGTCCGAATTCTGCAATTTTGTAGGGGAAATGACCTGACCCGGAAATATTTGACGTGATCCTCGCGCATGTGCAAAGCGTAATTACGAACAGTTTTATTGCGATAGATATTTGTGACAGGCGCATCTTTATAGAAGCAGATTTTCTTTTAAAGAAATGGATGGTGAAAGCTTGAGCAAAATATAATTAAAATTATAAAAAATAGGGCCTGCACGAAACTCTGTCCGACCTGAGTTCAGTGTGTGCAGTTTTTTTTTTTACTTCTTTAATGTATTCATACTCCTTATTCGTTTGTCCATCAAAAGCTGGCTGAACTTGGGTTTTTCGGTATTGATTTTAAACAATGAAGCTGTACACACATTGATATGTTTTATTATTAAACAAATTACAATTAATATTATCATTATCATCCTTATCATCATTATTTGTTCGTTTATTATTATCATTAGTCGAAGTATTATGATTACTGTTATATGTTATTGGTACACTTAAATTAATCAAAATCAATTCAGGCGATCGAATGACCCCTTCCTTTGATAAAGCCAATTCAATTAAATTATATGGAGTGTGAAGTCAGTCATGAAGTTAACAATAGCACTTTACAAAATTAATACATACAAGGTGGTGGATTTAATTATAATTATCTCATTTTCATTCATATCTTAAAGACACTAGGCAATAATTGTTCAGGCGTCCTTCGGTATATAATCATGATATTGAAACCAAATTAGTAATAGATGAAACACGGTAAAGTCAGGTCCATATCCACAATCAGTCAACAATTTATTGTTACGGCTCAATATTCAACAAAAATTCTCATTATACACGGATTTAATTATAATACAGAAATGACAAGCGGAACAGAATTAATGTATGGTTATGATAAATTTTAATTAATCAAAATATAAACACTCTTCAAGGGCGAGCCAGTAACCTCGCCACTTCCTTTCTCATCCTCACTAAAAATCAACAATTAACACTAATTAATTGAATGCAGACAATAGGGTCAGACAAGCGGCGCATATTATGCACCAGCGATCAGTGGTCATTTTATAGACAAGGTGGGGCGTGGCCAGAAGCGTTGAATCCTTTTTTGTCTCATTGACCTGATCACGTGACCTGTGGTTCTTTCAACTGACCTTTCATCGTTTCAAGATCATTTTTCATCGGGACTCGTGGAATGGTGGTTGTGTGACGATTGTCTCTCGCTTCTTGCTTACAATCGGGTGTTTATCATCACGCAGTCCAACAATGCTAGCTATTATCATGATACTCGTTTCTTTGGCCAGCGCCATGCAACCTACCGGTAAGTTTATAATCGTATCCCCCATCCTCCTGTTTCTGTCTCTCTCCCTTTCCAACCAACTAATCTATCACCCCCTCCACCTCTCTCTCTCTCTCACTCTCTCTTTCTATTTATCTTGCTAAATATTGTCCACCTCTCCCAATTCCACCCCTTCTTCTTTTTCTAAACCCCTTCCCTCTCTTTCTTTCTTTCTGTCTGTCTGTCAATGTCTCTCTCTCCATGCTGATTGATACGTATTTCTACGTATACGGACACCTGCCCCCTGGACATCGACTCCTGGATAACCACCCCAGTCAACTACCCCTAGGACAACTACCCTCAGACAACTACCCCCAGACAACTACCCCGAGCAACTACCCCCGGACAACTACCCCCGGACAACAACCCCCGGACAACACCCCCTGACAAATATCCTCTATGATAGTTGACCGGGAGGTAGTTGTCCTAGAGGATGGTTGTCATAGGGGGTAATTGTCCGGATGGTATTTGTCCGGGGGTTAGTTGTCCTAGGGGATTGTTGTCCGGGGAGAAGTTGTCCGGGGTAGTTGTTTGGGAGGGTAGTTATCCAAGGGTTAGTTGTCTCAGGGGGTAGTCGTCCTAGAGGGTGGTTGCCCTAGGAGGTAGTTGTCCTAAGGGGTAGTTGACTTGGGATGGTTATCCGGTGGTGGTTGTCCAGGGAGTGGTGTCCTAGGACCGTATTTCTGATGTGCACCATTTTAAATGCTAAGTCTTGTTCAGTGTCATTTGTTAATGAATAGCCCATTCTATTAATACTGTACTTAGTGCGGGCCTCGCAATTTTACCCTGACCACGGCTTATATCCAAACTACCATGATAAGAACCCCCATATGGAAAACTTACGCGCATCTGCTCTGCGCCTCGTCGCTTATCCTGTTAAGCACGGGGAACGTACACCAAAAAAGCCATGTTTTGATATAATTGCTGGTATTACGGGAAAATGGAATTAAAAAAAAAAAATCTTCGGACGGTTTCTTATAATTTGAAATGTCGTCTTAAAAATGATACTAAATTTGGGATTATTCTTTCAGGGGAAACGGTTGCACTTTTCCCCTAAAAGTTTTGACTTTTTCAGCCTGCCTATGGAGATTGCACTGTTTTTCCCCTTTTTTGTCGGGTTTCGCTCAGTCAACCAGTCGGCAAATCTTACACGAGTGACGTATAAAAAATCTTCGGACGGATTCAGAAACCTTGACATCCCACCTTTACGTTGGTATAACGATTGTTTTCATTTGTGGAGGGGAAACGGTGGCAATTTTCCAACAAATAAAAGGTAGCTTTTCATAGTAAACCAAGGTGACTGGGATAGTGTAGCGCTATAGCTACTCACAACGAGTGCGCCCGTACCGTACAAACAATGCACAGTTATAGCTTCCGTGCAATCGCTGTAGAGGTCATCAGTGTGTGTATTTAACGCAGTGCGTACAGAGTGTGTGCGTTGCGCTCAAAATCTCGGAGACCGCATTACGCGCATCATGTCTATACATGCGCACCCGAATGGGTCATTGCACTCCAACTAGAGGGAAGTCAGTACAATCATTGGCAAAGGGAATGAGTTCGATTTCGTCTACGGTGTAATGGCAAGCCTCTGCTGGTGTAGTCTACCGTAATTTTGCATTTATTTAACTATAGGTGAGTTTCATTTCTAATTCTAGTTTGTTAGTGTTAGTAAGTAGTCAACGAGAGCAAGCGCTCGCACCCCTGCTTTGTCGCATTGAACTAGTCCGATCAGTGTACTTTCACGCAAGAGTGCACTTGAGCGCGCTCTCTTCGTTAAAGCTGTTGTTTAGTGCTGTATTCTTTTATGCGCGTTTAGGGCTAAAAGTTTTCCATATGCACGCCCCACGCCCCACGCCCCCTACGCCCCCAGTATTTAAGAAAATGTATTCCTATGTTCTTTCTCCTTCATCTGGGTGGAGTGTTAAAGGTACTATTTCCTATTTGCAGCCAACCTCAAATTATGTAGAACTTTGCAGGAATTATGAAAATGTCATGTATGTCCTATCTGTGAAATTTAAACGTTAGCAGTTTCCTAATATTCAAATTATGCAAGGAAACCCGTTAACAGCTAGACTTCACTGTCAGACACTATTGAGTGACTGACTGGCTTTTTTCTTCTTTGGTAATAACATACATAAAATGAGCTGTAGAGGGTACATGAGCATCTGTCTACATCAATAACCCACTTCTTGTAATGGCCAAAATTAAAAGATTGAATCTTTGCGCAGGATAAAACGTACGACCATTCAGTACAATGGTCTGAAAATCAGACTTTTACTTATTGGCTCTATAGCTCCTAAGTCGATTTGACAACTAATAGTCATTATTTTCCCACTTAAAGACATTTTCAAGCCCCCTATTTGTTAGGGAAGTTCTAAATTAGTATTATCTTTCAAATGCTGTTGGAATTTAAGCTTTTCATTTTTTGGCCTGCAAATGGGAGATAGTACCTTTAAAAATGGAGTTTAATGACTTGCCAAAATACATTAGTACTACTGCAGGACACGAACCACGTGACCCACAGTCCTATGACGTATCCACCAGACCATGATACGTATTCAAAGACATTGTGATAGTTACCAGATTGGGTTAGACCTTCTTTTTCCTGTTCTAAAATAAGTGAATCGAGAAGCATTTCTAATATTGAATGACAGAGCACATGGAGAAGGTTTATAATGTTATCATTATTTATTTTCTGTCGTAAAGATGGGGCGTGCCCCACTGGATGGGACAGCGTAGGACCCGGATGTTACAAGTTTACTGTCAGTTCATCCATGCAAGACGTGATGAAATACCCAGAGGCTTCATCATCATGCAACTCTACTGGAGGAAAACTTGTAGTTTTCAACAGCAAAGATGAGATGGTAGAAGTAGGTAATTCATTGTACGTACGGGAACATATGGAGCGCACACATGGCTCCGATTATTACTTATGGATCGGTTGTACGGACCAGGCCGTAGAGGGAACCTTCGAATGTGAAGACGGTACGCAACTAGCTCTCGACAGTGGTAAGTTCACCCATTAGCCCAAACAAAAATTGTTTGGTTGTCCTCGATTGCTATTCTGGACGGGCGGATTTTTTTTCTTTTTAACTTCATTTTTTGTGTGTCTTTTTTTGAGTTTGAATTTTTTTTCCCCCATTTTTAAAATTTTTTTAAAAGTAATTTTTGTTCCATTAAAAAAAAAAAATCATTTGGATTGTCAAGCATTTAAAGAAACAAAGTCTATAAAACACTTTAATATGGTAAAAGACTAGTTTAATGTACAATGAATATCAAAACCATTACAGAAAGTATTTTAGGCTTTGATATACAGCACCTTTTAAATCTCCATTGTACTACTTATAGCTACTTGCGCCCTCTATGTAGCAAACAATGCCTAATCGGTGACCATTGGTCCCCCATTATCCTCTTTATCTTATATTAACTGAGCGCTGATTTGATGAGATAACCACCTGTCCAGTAACCTTGCAGGATGGTTTAATCCCTACTGTAAACTAGTACAGATGGGTTTTAAAATAAGTTTAAGAATGCTCAGAACCTGATTTGAATGAACGACATTTTGACATAGCAAAATGAAAATGGCAAGTTTAATAAATACCTAATTGCGTACTGAAAAGACAAAACTGGCAACGGGACGCATTTTGATCCTTGCAAATGCATAAAATAATGGTATGTTTGGCATTTAAGATTGCTCCCCCCAAAAAAAATTAAACTTAAAAAATAAAAAATAAAACAAATACGAGCGGCCCGAAAATGACGAGCGGGCGGTCGAGGACAACCAAATGATTTTTTTTTTGGCCTTAAAAAAAATGTAAGCATAGAAAACAGCCACGCTATCATAATCTTCTTATATAACAAATACATCTTTCTTTTCGTTTAATTTGTTGCCTTCTATTCGTAATCATGTTTAATTATTTCATGGTTGTTTTGATTTTAAACTCGGTGCGTCTTGTCTTCACTTTTCAAAATTAGAAGAAATTAAATAATTTCACAACCGGAACATCTTGTAGCAAAATTGTATTGTAAAATCAAAAATATAATTGAGACTACCCTTTTAAACGATTCCTTCATTTCTTCGTAACGTTTTAATGACGATCTAACCTTTTCAATGAGTTCATGTGAAATAAAGCATAAAAAGGAGAACCAGAATAGAGAAAGCTTGAAATAAATCTGACCAAATAGTATGGTAAAAATGCAAATTCCCTATTTTTATCCGAATTTTAGTATGGAAATTTGGACTGTGGATTGTGATGTATTCACAACTCTTCCGTTTGTTGTGTAATAGCATTATAAGTTCCCCTCCTTAGGGACAATACTCAAAATATACTAATACATCACATTATAATATAGATCCTCTAAAAAGGAAATACCATCCAGAATATTAAATTTCAATCACCTTGTGTGTTGAAGCAAATGAGAATACGATGGCCGCCACTATACTGATCCCAATGACTTCATCGATTTGAATTCCCGTACGAATAGTAATTGCACGTTTTAGAAAATTCGCAACATTCTTAAAAGTTGTGCGATTCCTTTCAAACTTTCACTAATAATCGTCCCTATTTTCACGAAGTGACGGTAGTGAGGAAAATCGAAACGCGAAGTGAATGCAATTTTTTTTCACTACCGTCACTTCGTGAAAACAGCGACGAATTATTATCTATTCCAATTGTTTCGCTTTCTTTTAGACTAATTGGCTATTAGGGTTGGGTTTTTCTTCAAAGGCCGGGTATTCTGTAGTGATTCTATTTCAGATTTACGTATACTGCCATCTGCTGCTCACAATGTTACAGTGTATGGATAACCGTCATGCGTCACACAATGCAAATTACACCGATGACTTATGTCCAATTCTTGTTTCTATGCGAAAGTGATTTTATTTCATAATTTGATATATGTTATACAGAACAAGAATACATAATAGTGTTTGTTCCTACAGACTTGTGGAGTGAGGGTGGACAACCAACGAGCGCAGGTTCCGGAGGTCGCGTCAATGACTGTGCTTACTACTACCGACCTTATAATAGCTTGAGAGATTGTTATTGTGAACCTTCGCAAGCAGATGCATTCTGCCTATGCGAAGGTAATTATATTTGATAATATGACAAATGTTATACAGAACAGGAAGACATAGAAGTGTTTAGTCAGTTCATGTTTTTCCCTTTTCCTTCTCAAACTTCTTTTCTTTAAACAAAATAATTAATCATTCTGCTGCCGCTTTGGCTTCTATTCCTTCATTTTCTCGTCATATTCCTCAATACTATCTTTTCGTTGTCTACTTGCTTTTGCATAAAAGCCATTACAAAACTAGATGATGCCTCCGCCATAGAGTGATTTCACAAACCACAACAGAAGCAATTTTTCAAATTCAAGTTTAATTGTAATCCATTAGCAGGTTCTCAGAATATCGTGATTACAAGCTATTTTGCATAAACATGTAAGATCCGTTTATCTTTGACCTCATGACCCTAAACTCTGATCAGTTCATTGGCTTTGCAAAATACATACAACTGTACATGTCTCGAGTTTGATGGTACTTCGGCCATCGGTTCTAATGATGTGATCACGAGCAATTTTTGCATACATAATGAGCGCCGTGACCTTTGACCTCGTGACCCCAAAATGTAATCAATTCATTGACTTTGTAAGGGCGCGTTTATCAAGGCTTGCCACTAGATATGTACATATCGTACCCCAGTATCAAACCCCACTATCGAACCCCACTATACGATCGTGATTTGCGGGATGTCGCGTTTATCGTCCCTTCACGATTCAAAATAAAGGCCTTGTGTCTGCCCAGCTATTTTGACCCGGGAAGCAGACAGTTTCTCGGAGGTCATCTTCACACACATGCTTGTACACAACACCTGGGGGGGGGGGGGTCCTATTTGTATGTGAGGTTCAAAACAGCTTTGCGTTTATCGATCTCTCAGAAACGTGATTCTGGCTGTATGTCACATTCAAAACGCACCTTTTTGCGTCTTTAGATATGCCCATATCTAAAGACGTTTGAAAAAGGCTTTGCGTTTATCAACTTCTAAATTTGCCTGAAAGACGTTTTAGAAACCTGATTCTAGCCAAAATTTGCTAGATAAACGCAACCTAAGATACATACATGACCTAAGTTTGGCAGGAATCCATCAATCAGTTCTTGAGATAACGCGAAAACATAATGCCTCCGGCTACTTGGTATTAAACGGAGGTATAAAACTATAGTTTTGTACATTTGTGATTACCATTATGTACATCTATCCATATTTGCTCCTGTGCATACTAAACAGTAATGTGTAGATGATTTAATGTGAATGAAATTTGGTTTGAACTATAAATTCCATTCTGAACACGTGAATATGGGTAGCTACGAGTGATTGGCGGAACCGTGTTCGGTTAGTACACGTCTCATGCAGCCTGTTAACAGAACGATAGAATGTAAAGTGGTCGTTGAGTGGTTTTTTTCCAAAAGCTTCACGCGTATCCATTGCGTCCTTGAATTATACGCGCGAGTCGAAATGTGGTCAGTTAATATTTTTCATTATACTGCTCAGCAGTCAGAAGCGACTTTCATGACTGCAGTTTTGACCAATCAGAGACCTAGAATCTTCATCTGTTGTATATAACAGAAACTATTGATTGGGCTTTATTCATGCGCGTAGAATAGGTTTTCAAAAGCTGGATATAAATTTAATATTGGATGCACGCAGTAGATACACGCACTTTCACTGTGTCCCTAAAAGCATTCAATATTCATATTTTTTATATTCGATTTACAAGCAATAACGTCAGTCAATTTTTTCAATACAGTTGAGCCTTTGACTCAAAACCTGACAACTCAGACTCCTGCACAGACTACCGCCCAAGTACCGACCACTCAGACACCTGCACAAACTACCAGCCAAGTATCGACCACTCAGACACCTGCACAAACTACCAGCAAAGTCTCGACCACTCAGAATCCAGCACAAACTACCAGCAAAGTATCGACCATTCAGAATCCTGCGCAAACTACCAGCCAAGTCTCGACCACTCAGACCGAAGCACAAGCTACCAACCATGTCTCGACCACTCAGACTCCGGCCACGGATACCAATCAGGTAATTACAGTTGAGCATTAGAACTCACGAGTTGTTCATACCAAGTTAAGCCCCTGTCAAATATAACTGCTTATAGTAATAACATACATCAACATCGAACCTCCATTTTTACTTTAAGTTGTTTCACTTCTCTGAATTCGTGCCAATAACACAGGTTGCAAATGTAAGGCCAAAAAGGGTAAACAATTATTGTTTCACTTTGTTTGCTCAAAATTGTGCTTTTAATATCGGAGGCGTTCTAATTTTATTTTGTTATTATTCATTCAGGAATTCGCTACTACCGTCGCTGATGAAGCATCCTATGAAACTTCTACTAGAGGTGATTTCATTTTATTATTTTATATCATTTATCTAATTTCCAGGCAAAGTTACACAAAAAACGTAAAGAAACAACCACCGAATATTGCCCGAGGATATCTCAGAACAATCATAGCATTTTTGAGAGATACGAGGTCATTGATGATATTGCTTTGCAAAGAGGGTCTGTTTTCTGTGTTAAGAAATGTTTATATTTGTATGTTTCAATCCCTTGCATATTGTTTCAATATTGGATAATGAAATGATTTTCTTCAGAATAAAAAGAAATTATGAAACTTTTAGTCGACAACAAATTAGAAAAATCGCTCTAAAATTTACAATATTTTTGTAAACAAGTTCCGTTTTGAGAAGAGTCATCATTATCATACTATTATTTTCATTATCATCATCACAGTAATCTTATAATCTTCTTATTCCTCATCACCATTTTATTTATCGACGATTCCTCGAATGCAGTAACGGGCGTTACCCGAGCATGTCAACCGAGCAAACACCATTTGAAATCAAGCGTCTTCAGCCGAGTCAAGGACAACGAGGGACGCAATCTGATTGGCTACTGTCTCACTGATCACGTGATGGAGACCGTGCAAATGATTAGCCTGATACGGTGCAGCATGATGTGCAATGGCATCGCAGGATGCAAGTCATTCAATTACAAAGGTGGTGTTTGCGAGCTGAATGATGAGAGAAAAACGAGTGTAGGTTCTAGATACTTCGTTCAGTCTGATGGGTGCACTTATTATGAACTAGCTTGATTTTAGAAGGTCAACATAAGTCCTTAACACAAGGGTTTGCGATGAATTTTGTTAATTTAAAATAACGATTCTGATTGGTAAGTGATCATCCTTTTAAACAGCTTGTGCATGCAACGATGATCGTGATTGGCCATTGTCATTTTGCAATTGATACGAACCTTTGCGTAACGGGGTCGAGTAATCACAGAGCAGGGGAATTGTACAAATCTTGTTGTTTCATCTTAGGGTGCGTTCAATCGAATTTTCGAAGCTAGAATCACAAACATGAATCACAAATCAAAACGCCATTACAAAAAACAAGGTCACTGCGGTTAGCGTTCAAGCGATTTTTCATCAATGCTGATTCTAGCTGATTTCGAGCCCAGCCACTTCGCATCACACTCGCAGTTTGACCCAGGAAGTATAGATCAACTTCGGCGCGCGCTTTTTGGAATTGTTTACGGCTGACTGTCGACTGCTGTTTTGAGCATAGATCGCAATAATAAAACAAAGAATGAGAAGGTGATGGAAGGAAGAAACAAAGAATGACATAAGGAAAGACAGAAAGAGAAAGTGATAGAATGCTTAAAACAACGAATTACATAAGAAAAGGTGATAGAAGGAAGAAACAAAGAATAACAAAAGAGAAAGTGATAGAATTATAAAAATAAAGAATAACATAAGAGAAGGTGATAGAAGGAAAAAACAAAGAATAACATAAGAATAAAAGGAAGAAACAAAGAATAACATAATGAAAGACAAAAAGAGAATGTGATACAAGGAAGAAACAAAGAATAACATAAGAATAGAAGGAAGAAACAAACAATAACAAAAGAGAAAGTGATAGAAAAATTATGAAAACAAAGAATAACAGAAGGAAAGACAAAAAGAGAAAGTGGTAGAAGGAAGAAACAAAGATAACATTAGGAAAGACAGAAAGAGAAAGTGATAGAATGCTTAAAACAAAGAATTACATAAAAAAAGCTAATAAAAGGAAAAAAAACAAAGATTAACATAAGAATACAAGGAGGAAACAAAGAATAACAAAAGAGAAAGTGATAGAATTATAAAAAATAAAGAATAACATAAGAGAAGGTGATAGAAGGAAAAAACAAAGAATAACATAAGAATAAAAGGAAGAAACATAATAATAATAACATAATGAATAACATAATGAATAACATAATGAAAGACAAAAAGAGAATGTGATACAAGGAAGAAACAAAGAATAACATAAGAATAGAAGGAAGAAACAAAGAATAACAAAAGAGAAAGTGATAGAAAAATTATGAAAACAAAGAATAACAGAAGGAAAGACAAAAAGAGAAAGTGATAGAAGGAAGAAACAAAGATAACAGAAGGAAAGACAAAAAGAGAAAGTGATACAAGGAAGAAACAAAGAATAACATAAGGAAAGACAGAAAGAGAAAGTGATAGAATGATTAAAACAAAGAATAACATAAGAGAATGTGAGTGAAGGGAAAAAACAAAGATTAACATAAGAATAGAAAGAAGAAAGAAAGAATAACAAAAGAGAAAGTGATAGAATTATAAAAAATAAAGAATAACATAAGAGAAGGTGATAGAAGGAAAAAACAAAGAATAACATAATTATAAAAGGAAGAAACAAAGAATAACATAATGAAAGACAAAAAGAGAATGTGATACAAGGAGGAAACAAAGAATAACATAAGAATAGAAGGAAAAAACAAAGAATAACAAAAGAGAAAGTGATAGAAAAATTATGAAAACAAAGAATAACAGAAGGAAAGACAAAAAGAGAAAGTGATAGAAGGAAGAAACAAAGATAACAGAAGGAAAGACAGAAAGAGAAAGTGATAGAATGCTTAAAACAAAGAATTACATAAAAAAAAAGCTAATAAAAGGAAAAAAAACAAAGATTAACATAAGAATACAAGGAGGAAACAAAGAATAAGAATAGATCTTTGATGGCATGATGGGAGATGTTGTGAAACAGGCAGTTGAGGCAGCAGTAAAGGCAGCCGTTCCTGCTATAGTTCAGGCAGTGAAAGAGGTATGCCTGCGGTCATTTAAGGAGGTGGTCAATCCCCATCTTCTCCACCTCCAGTTTCGACAAGATGCAATAGAGCAGGCTGGGAGGAAAGATAATTTGAGGATCAGCGGTCTGGCTGAGGAGGAGAAGGATGAGACAGAGGAGATCCTGATCGAGAAAATCTGTAAGGTGGCTGGGGAGACCGGGATGCAGCTTGCAGAGAGCGACATCTCGGCTTGCCATCGCTTAGGAAGGAAGGTGGCGGGGAAGAAGCGCGACACCGTCGTGCGCTTTGTCGCCCAACGTAAGCGGGACAAGGTCTACCAGGGGCGTTTCCACTTAAAGGGGAAGGAATCCTTCAGGCAGGTTTTTGTGAACGAAGATCTCACCTCTACTCGCTATGCTGTCTTGATGGCAGCAAAGAAATCTGCAGAGGTGAAAGCTGTTTCAACAAAGGCAGGGAACATCGTCTGCAAAATGAATGATGATACTTTTAAGATAATTTCAACCCCTGACGACTTGTTCGCAGTGGGTTTAGATAATGTCGAAAACAAAAACTTCAGACTCCGCCTGTTGGAGTAATGTCTCCTCATAATGTCATTTTTTTTCATGATACAAATATTCTAATAATATGTTTGATAACACTATATCACATTCTTATAAGTTATGTCCAAATTCATTTGATAGTACATTGCCACTTGACGGTAAAAAATCAATTAGTATCTCCCATGTAAATGTACGTTCGCTAAACAAAAATGTTGATTCCTTAAAGTTGTTATATGAAGATTGCGTTAAGTTCAGATTCGATGTAATTGCATTATCAGAAGTATGGAGAGTTTTAGAAAAATCAACCTTGGAAATGGAAGGTTATTTATTGGAGGTAAAGTGCCGGGATGATAAAGAAAGAGGAGGAGGGGTAGGAGCTTATATTCGTTCTAATTTGAAATACGTCGTGAAAGATTATACAGTGAAGCATACAGAATCAATCTGGTTTGAAATAAACAATGGAGAATTCCAGAAGGTGATGGTAGGTGTTTTATATAGGAAACCAAATACAGATGTTAAAGAATTTCAAGAAAGTCTTCTCACAGTTTTAGAAGACATTAAAGTCGACAGACGCAATACCATTATAATAGGAGATTTTAATATAAATTCATTAAGTTCAGACGGAACAACAGAAGGGTTTTCAACAGCGATGAAATGCGTAGGAATGGAGCAGAAAATAAAATATCCAACAAGAGTAGCCAGTGAGTCTGTAACCTTATTAGACCATATATACACTAATATGAACAAGTTTGATAATCACTCAGGTGTTATAGAATGTGATATTTCTGATCACTACCCTGTGTTCATGATTTTAGAAAATCCATGTATAAATTCGAAGCAGATGCATTATCCACAGACTGTAACTTACAGATGTTATAAAAACTATGATGTAAACAACTTTAAAGATGATCTTGCTGGGCAAGAGTGGCAACATATCAATAGCTGTGAAGATGTTAACATGGCATATTCCATTTTTCTTAATTTGTTTAATAATGTTTGTAATAAACATGCACCAATCAAAGAGAAAAGAAGCTGCAAAGGACGCGCTTATAAGAAACCTTGGATAACCAAATCAATAATGAAGTCTGTTCGAAAAAAATATAAATTGTTTTTAAAAGTAAGGAAATCTAATTTTGATGTAAGTGATGTACAAAAATTTCGGAACTTCAGAAATGTATTAACGACTGTTCTTCGCAATGCCAAGAGAAATTATTACAGTGGTTTGCTAGCTGAGAACAGCAATAACACTAGTAAAACGTGGAACATCATAAATGAATTACTATCTGGGAGAAATAAAGGTAACAAAGGTACTAAGGTAGAAAAACTTATAAGGCGTATTGATGGAAATGATAAAGTTCTAACAACTGAATCTGAAATTGCCAATGAATTTAATGATTTCTTTGTAAACATTGGTCCAAATCTAGCATCAGCAATACCAAATGTACCCACATTATTTGAAGATTATTTGAATAATAGTGTTGAGCAATCCCTTTTTTGGAAACCGGTCACAATGAAGGAAATTCATGACCACATCTCGGCTCTAGACGAGAAGAAAGCTTGTGGTTACGACAACATTCCAGTACGCCTGATTAAGGATGGTGCATCTATTTTGGCTGAACCATTAAGACATATCTTCAATCTTTCATTGGAAACAGGAAATTTCCCTGATCAAATGAAAATTGCTAAAGTCAGTCCACTGTTTAAGAAAGGTAATAAACATGAAACAGGGAATTATAGACACATTTCTGTCTTACCAATTTTGGGTAAAGTATTAGAAAAAATAGTTAATGTTCGATTGACCAGTTTTCTAGAAATGCATGACATTTTATATCACCATCAGTACGGATTTAGGAAAAAGTATAATACTAAATTATCATTAATTAATCTTATGAATACGGTATTGAAAAGTATAGATGAAGGATGTGTTACGCTTGGCGTGTTTCTTGACTTTCAAAAGGCTTTTGACACAATAAACCATAAAATATTATTTAAAAAGCTATCACATTATGGCATCCGAGGACATGCACTGAAATGGCTCGAAAGCTATCTTAGTGACAGAATGCAGTTTGTGAAATACAAAGAGTCATCATCAGAAAGTAGATATATCAAATGCGGTGTACCACAAGATTCTGTCTTAGGACCAACTCTGTTTTTAATCTATATAAATGACTTGCCAACTGTGACAAATTATTTCAATTTCAGACTATTTGCAGATGATTCTAATATTTTTCATACTTTTCCCAAAGGTGTAGATCAAATAGATGAGTGTGAAGTAAATGAAAATTTAAAATCAATACAGAATTGGTGCACTGCAAATAAGCTTACTATCAATGCATCAAAAACCAATTTCATGTTCTTCAGTAGTCGTAGAAGAAAGGCTGTGCTTAAAGGGAGATTAGAAATATCTGGGGCAGAATTAATAGAAGTGGAGGAAGCAACATTTGTTGGCATTACCATTGAC